GCCCTAAATAGAAGATTTTTATTTAATTTTAATTTAATTTTATTTTTTTTAGCAGAACCAGAAATTGAACTCAAACCCTTGCATTTGCCAGGGAAGTGCTTACCCTACTGAGCCATCTCCCTGGCCCCAAAAAATAAATTTTTTTAAAAAATAAAAATGAGGGACTGGTGAGATGGCTCAGTGGTCTAAAGCACCTACTTAGAACAAGTTTAGCAAAGCACAGGGACCGCGGTTCAATCCCCCAGCACCACATGCCAGCCAGCCCCGCCCCCTGGTAGGCTGAGCTGGCCACACACACACACACACACACACAAATAAATAAAATTTTTAAAAAATAATTAAATAATAAAAATGAATGTATTAAAACTCACAGCCTAAATAAATAAATAAATAAATAAATAAAACTCACAGCCACTCCAGGCAAATATCTCATATATATCTCCTTGGCAGTGTGCTCACTGGCCATGTGAAAGCAGGAACGACTCATGACTTGTGTCATCGCCTGCTTGGCTGCTCGGGTGATGGTGGGGCAACTTGACTCATGTGCCAACTGAGACAGCTCTGTGTGCCTTCTGTGGCACACATGCCATAGGTTTGTCACCACTGCCTTACTGGTTATGATGGCACATGCCTGTAATCCCAGCACTCTAGGAGGCCAAGACAAGAGTATCACAAGTTCAAACCTATGCTGGGCAATTTAGGGAGCCTGTCTCCCAAAATAAAAAGTAAAAAAAAGAAATGGGACTGTTGCTCTGTGTGAAGGTCCTGCGTTTGATCCCCAGTGCCACCACCAAAATGAAAGATGCATACTTAACTGTATGATCAGCATAAGAGAGGATCCAGTGTAACAGACAGACTGCTGTGGAAGTTAAGAGACCATTAAGCTCCCCTCTGGCTCTGGTATCTGTGCCAGGGAAGGAGACAGGACTTGCACAGGGCCTCTGGTGGCTTGGATGCAGAAGTTGGAGGGGGCATGCTGCAGCAACGAGCAGCAATATTCTTGACACCTGGGAAGATGACAGTGCCATTTTCTCATTGTATGCGCTTGGTTAAGTACCCTCTGTTTCCTCATTTTCCTCCTGTGTAGGAGTGATGTTCTTCATCAGGTTATGAGGATTGAGTTATTATGTATAAAGGGCTTAGAACAGTGTATGGCAAACACAGTACAAATAATACCCTTCTTGGTAGAATTTTAAAGTTTGGTAAAAAAAATTATTCAAAATAAAAATAGGTGGGGGCTCCATCAATATGTTCAAGTTTTGGTTTTGTGTGTCTTTTTTTTTTTTTTTTAGATAGGGTCTTGCTATGTAGTTCAGGCTGGCCTTGAAATGTGTAGCCCACCCTGGCTTCAAATGTGTAATAATCCTCCTGCGTCAGCTTCTTGAGTGCTGGGATTAGGTGTGTGCCACCACACGTGGCATTGTATGTCATTTTTTAAAATATTTTTTTTTAAATTTTATTTATATATGTGTGTTTATATATGTGTGTGTGTGTGTGTGTGGCCAGCTCAGCCCACCAGGGGGCAGGGCTGGCTGGCATGTGGTGCTGGGGGATTGAACCGCGGTCCCTGTGCTTTGCTAAGCTTGTTCTAAGTAGGTGCTTTAGACCACTGAGCCATCTCGCCAGCCCATTTTTTTAAAATATTGAAATTTTTAAAAAAAAGTTGCTGGAGTCGGGGCTGGGGAGATGGGCTCAGTAGGATAAGCACTTGACTGGCAAATGCAAGGATCTGAGTTCAATCCCCAGTTCCAAAAAAAAAAAAAAAAAAAAAAAAAAATTGGTGGAGTATATGAAAACCTGAACTTTAACAAAGCATTATATAAGAGACTGGGCATGGTGGTGCGTGACTGTAATCCCAGCTCTTGGGAGGCTGTAAACAGGCAGATCACTACGAGTCCGATCTAATAGTGAGACCTTGAACACACTGTAGATTCTTCCCTAAAATAAAAAAAAAAAAAAGATTTATGACTTAGACTAAATTTGCATCACATCAATACCACTGATTTTGAGGGTCCATAATGTCAGATGAAAGTGCTGCTGGTAAAATCAAGGACAGTATGTGACTAAAACTTCACAATTACATTTCACTGGCCAGGCATGGTGGTGCATACCTGTAATCCCAGTACTTGATAGGCTGAGACAGAAGGATAACTGTGAATTCAAGGCCAGCTTAGGCTGCATAGCAAACAAAACCTGTTGCAAAAACAAAAACCATAGTTACATTGTACTTTATAATTTACAAGGTTCTTTCACTTATGTTATTTCAATTATTGGATCAGCATGTCTCCAGATCCCTTACAAATGAGGGTGGCATCAAATGTTAGGCCAGTTACCCTTGAGAGCTCTGAAAATAATATAAATTTTACCTTTTCCATCTCCAAAGGCTCTAATTGAGGCTCAAACTGCCCCAGAGGAAATGTAGAGATACACAGATTCCTGACCAACTTGATAATAATTTGGCATTTATTTATATCTTTTTCCCTCTTCAGTATTACCCTCCATTCCATGTTTTAGTGGTGGTGATGGGAATTACCAGAAAGCTAACGAACCAAAAAAAGATGGAGGCTTTTGCTTGGGAGTTGCAGAAGTAAGACTTAGGGATTGGGGAAGGCATATAAAACAGCTGGAAACCAGGTAATTACAGATTTCAGGTGCTTTTATTTTTCTTTCACATGAGCTGCTGTTATCTGTAGGTCATGGATGTTCTGGGAGAATTTTAGCTGTTTGTGCTGCTGCTCTGCCGTGCAGCTTCATGACTAGAACTTGTCCCCTGGGTGAAGCCATAAAAGAAAAGGGGGAAACTGGAAAAACTCATTTTTTTCTAGATTGATTTCAGATTTGGTCCTCTTTCACAGTTCACACTAGTTCTGAGAAGATGAAGCTCCTCCATAAGTCTCCATAGGAATGCTTTCTCCAAAGTCAGCTCAGCATGCTTCTGAGCATCCATGTCTAAAATAATTGTCCT